CTAATGCGGGTTGAGAACTTCACACACATAATTAAATTGCTTTGCAGATGTGTACAAGTTTCCTCACGATGTTTTCCTTAGTCAAAAAGCTTATAGTAAATTTCAAATTAAATTTCGTATATAAATTTCGAAAGCTCAGAGGTGCAAGCCCTATTCGAACTCACGATCCTCTGCAGCGGTAAGTCAAACTATTAGACTGCCAGGGTTGTCAATGTTTGTTTATCACTTGCGAAAGTTTTGCGGTAATAGAATGAATATAATATTAGAATGCATACAGGATAAAATTACACACATACATTAAGTTTAATATGTAGATATTTGTTTAACCAATATATTATACTGCTATTCCCGCAAAGAGATCTCGCGTTTTATGTCGCATTCCCACAAGTTGCGCTCTGTCGTGCTAGCCCTACAGGTCTATTTTTGGTAAAATAAAAGAATAAATTTATTTTCTTCTTAATGTTGACTTCAATAAATTAGAAAATCTTGATAGACTACTTGCCAGGTCTTTGCAAAAAAGTAAATTGTGTTTATGCTTTCTTATGTATTAATTAAGTTAATAAATAAAGCAAACAAACTGCAAAGTCTAATTAAGAAAATTTATTCGACGTCGTAATTCAACTGTAATTAATTCATACGTTCCATTCACTAATCCTTGTGTGCCTTGAATAACGCCTCTCGAACTTGACTGGCAGTGGCGTTCTTCGGAAGGCAGATGCTGCGAACACCAAGCACCTTGTCTTGAGAGCACTTGGCTCCCGTTAAAGTTCCACAATTGACACTTGACAGAAGGCATACGGCGACAGTCAAACAAGCTACAACGAGAACATATAGGAGTCTCATCTGAAACAAGACACATTCATTTTTAGTTGCTTTCTATAGGCCTCAATGACCTTTTGTCGAGTCTAAGGTCGACAAGATTTATTGTGTAATTACTGAAGTAAAAGACAAAATGTATTAATTTTAAACAGCACTTCCTTGTATAACGAACGATAGCTCCTTCATGGACAGTAACAACCGTAAAGTTTGGTGTAAAATTAAATATTAATAATAATAAATATTAAACAACATCACATAGTAGTAGCAGTAGAACTCTTTGTGAAAGAGTTTATCCAGGATACTACTGCCACCTTACCTATTTCTGCCGTCAAGCAGTAACGTCAGCATTACTGTGTTCCGGTTTTGAAGGGTAAGGGTGCTGGTGAAATTACAGGCACATGGGACTTGTCAACTTACGTCTCAGGGCGACGGCATTGGCAGTGCCCCGCAGATCTTTGCGATTTAAAACTCTAAGTGGCAATGCAACTGTTATGGATAGACTTGTAGCTTACCATCAGGCGCACGACTTGTTCGTTCCGTCACTTATTATCAGAAAAAACATACATTGATTCCAAAGTAAGTAACTAAATCACTTGTGTTGTAATAAACAACGACGGTAGTACAAAAACCCAGACCCGAGCTTGTACAGAAAAGTTAGTTTTTTCCCACTGACCCGGCCGGGATTGAATCTGGGACTTCAAAGATGACATCATGAAAACGGGTTTGCAAGCCACTCGACCACTGAGGTTGTAAAAATATTTAGAATATGCACAGACATATCTAGTGTCTGTGACAATATGATAGTTTGGAGAACTTAATAGATTCAGGCGTTACTTTGCGGAAGTCCATTTTTATTAGTTTGGAGAACACCATTTCGCTATATGGATCTCAAAGAACCAACTACGAGCTTTTTAATGCCATTTCAAAGTGCTTTCTGTGTAGTTGCAATAGTTGCGGCCTATTATTTTCCATAGTAATTTTTTTTAACATCTTTGTGCGCTTAAGTACTGTCCATGAAAGGGTTAAATTCTCCATCTTTTACCTAGGGAATCACTACACATATTAACGCTAAATCGGCTTGAGCCGAGCAAAAAAAGCCTTATTGTCCATGTAATAACAGCGAAAAGGACGTTGTGCGTTTCTCTTCCTTTTCGTTCTTATAATATGGACGAAAAGCTTTTTTCAAACCGGCTCAATGTGATATTGTGTCGATAAATATGGTAATTCACTTGACTGTAAATAATCTGTGAGACTAAAATAAAAATATTAACGTATTTACGGAATTGGTAGACCTTAAAATGTATGACGTGGTACATACATTTCAACAATGTTGCCTATATCATTTAAAATATTCAGTGTTAGTTAAACAGATGGACTGTCATTGAATTGTTTATGATGCCATGTTAGTAGCGATACTGCGCTACGTTGTCAATTGAATCAGCTTATCACTACAACATAGCGTCTATATATATACACTTTACTCTTAGTTAGTAGTACGTGCCAGATTTAACGCAAGTAACAAAGGTAATCGCTAAGTTATTGAAACAAAGAAATGTAAAAACGAAATTTTAAATAAATATTTTACTTATATACTTAAATTTATATACTATCGTAAATAAAAAATGGTGGAATTGAGAAAACACGATTTGAAAATTAAAAAAAATACTGAATGGATCTGATGGCGAATAATGTCTTTATTTTTATTTAAATGTAAAATATTTAGTTACCCATTTGTAAATGAGAATATAAATTTGTTGCTTTTAGTCAGTAACTTTTTGAACTTTTTAATTCGTGTTTTCTCAATTCATTAGTTTTGAGTTACGACTTTATTTAGTTGAATGTGCGATATACTATCACTAAAAGTTAACCCACTTCAGGAAAAGGTTTTTGAGGGAAGCTATTTACTATTTATTCGCTATTTATATCAAAGGTATGAAGTCGTTGTGTTATAATGCGGTTTATTTAAATATGTATGATATGGTTATTTACGTATTGTACACTGTAATGAACACTCACTTTTTATCACAGATAAAACAGAGTACCCCAATTGACTTTTCTCGGTGAGATTTGAATGGTCACTGACGAAAACAAACAACAATTTACTATAAATCTGCAACTTTCAAACTGGTTTTGCATCTGTGTCAGGTCTGCTCCGACCCTGAACTCCCCGTTCTAAAGATCAAAGATAGGTTGACATAGTTTCATATTTGTCTCAAACGCGATATGATCGCCGAGATTGTACTTAATATCATGACGACGTAACTGCAATTACAATTACGTCAATTACGTAGGTCAATTATTTCTTAACTTAAGTACCAACATATTTAGTTACATAATTGTTCTACAACGTTCAATAAAAAAAAAGGATATGAATGCAAAACTCGCTTACATAAGGCATGTGCTATATATTTTGCATTATTTCTGTTTAAAATAATGTAAAATATTATTTATTGAGGAATGATAGCAGTTAAACATACTCTTATTCACACTCTTTTTAACTCCAAATGTGGCTTCATATATTATTTATCTACACACATATCATAAACTCTATAATGTGTTCAAAAACCGCAAATTACGACCAGCATAAAGGTAAACAGTTTTGTTAGAATAAATTTCTTATCTGTGGAAATGTTATTATTGCTTCTTAATTTATAATCGAATTCGATGTTATGTTTTACTCTCCCTCTATGGATGTTATTATTACATTCAAATTTCGAACATCTCTGAAAAACAAAACAATTTGATTGGACCTCAGTTCTAATAACAGTCGAGATGAAGTTTTATTCGAAATGAAATGTCAATAGTAAACAATTTTGACAATTTCACACGTTACTTGTTATCTAACGATATGATCGTTGGTGCCGATTCTAGTTTGTCTATGAATTAAAAATAAAAACTACGGTTGTGTGACATGCGTGAGAAAAGTTTTAATTTGCCGCCATTTCGTCAGTCGTAACATGCGGTTCCTGAAAACATCACAGAGAGCTTATAATATGTGTGTAGACAAAGCAGTGTATGTAACTGTACATAATTAGGCATTAAAACACTCGTGAGATGTTTTTATGACCCTCAATCGTATTTTAATGCCTTTCGTTATGTAACAGTCACATAAACTATTATTTTGTTACAGGATTTTTTTTCGTACGTGACCATCACGCAATACAAATTCACATGCTTAATCAGTGTTTTTTCGATATCCAGTGACGTGACGGATTGCGGACGGACGGTTAAGCGATACGCTTGTCCATAGCAGTTGCAGTGCCATTCAGAGCTTTAAATCGCAAAGATCTGAGGACACTGTCACTACGCGAGTCACCTTGAGATATAAGTTGACAAATCTCACGTACCTGTAATTTCACCTGCACCCTTACCCTTAAAAAACCAGAACGCAGAATACAATATAAATATTAGACAACATCACATACGTTGCTGTGATCCCACAGTAAGTAGCAAAAGTAATTGTGTTATGGAAATTGGAACCAAAACACCCAGACCGGAAACAATATAGAAAGGTTAGTTCTCTAACTGTCCCGGTCGGGGATCGAATCCGGCACCGCACAAATGGCGACACTATGAATACCGGTGTGCGAGCCATTTGACCACGGAGACGGTAATGTTCACATTACTGCTTGGCGTCAGAAATAGGTAAGGTGGCAGTGCTTCCCTGGACGAACTCTTTCACAATGAGCTCTACTGCTCCAATATAAAACAAGAGCGACTTAAACTTTCTTAATTTTCAATTACACACAAGTGTTCATACAAGTATCAGTTACAAAAAAAATAAGTGCCTTGTTACATGTGTTCATATCGTGTGACCGACACTGGCCGTCACATTGCAGTTACACTGAACCCTTATGCAATAGATGTAAACCAACCGGACCGAACGGCAAATTATTGAATATATAAATGCAATAGCATACTACGAGACGTTAAACTTGCTTAACTACGTAGAGCAGATTACAACATTTCTGGATCATGAGTGTCATTTACAGTTTTAGTATCACTTTTAATTCCGTGTCACATTTAAGGTCGCATTACATTTAATATTACTTGGTTTTGTGTATTTCATTTTGTATTATTAATATTTAAATATTTAACTTCTTAAAAACATAATTTCCGAACTAAGCTTATTTAGACTGAAAAGCAGCATGTGTGTTACCTACACTATTTACTTTAGACAAATGTCGCTACTCAAGAATCTTTTAAACCTGAGAAGTAAGAACCTTTTACCACATTCGCGCGAGCTATATACTATGCCTCCCCAAACATTTCTAAGTAATGTAGAACGACGTAGTATTACGTCGTTTAATTTCTTTTATTTCATAGTTTTCCAAAGTGGGCCCTACCGCCCAGTGGGCGCTGAAGAGTCCTAGGGGGTAGAGGCCTTGGAAGCAATTGGAGCGCGTTGATGTTGTCCAGGGGGTGCTACCGCATTTGAAAAAAAATCACCTGAATAATCTATATAAACTACACTACAATTTATTTTTAATTATTTTTTTTTAAGAGAACGATATTTGGCTATACAAAATCTTAATAGTAACGTCATCGCTCTACAACATATCAAAATATTGAGTATCTAACGAACGCAGTATCGAATTTTCACATTGTATATCGCTTTTATATTTTTTTAACAAAACAACGGCCATTGCAGTAGAATTCAGCCACAAAAATATGGTATCATCATAGATTTTGGGTACCTGTATACTAAATCTATGGGTGTCATGCATAAGCACAAAAAAAGTCTGTCGTGTCCCGTGTGCTGGGCAAAGGCTCAAAAATAAATTTAAAAAATAATTTATAGCCGGCTAAAGTCGACATTCAAAATCATACAAACCACAAACAATTATAGAATGTAATGTAAACTTAAATAATTGGAAAAAAATCAAAACAAAATAGAGTCTGCCTAAGAGACTTAAAAAAAACGCGGGAAAATTGGAAAACATTTCGTATATTATCACAAGGTTATCACGGGGGTAGAAGGTTATTTGTTATTTGTTATGCAAGGCTGTAAAGTTGTTGTTTGACGCGAGTGTTTGTGGTTGTAAAATGGATTCCTGAGCGTAGCGAGGGTTTCAAGACACGAGACGCAAAATAATTTTGTTGCCGAGCGAAACATATAACTTTTCACCTCACTATAGCGAGGAAAATGGTGGATGAAAGAAAAACATGAACTATAAAACATTAGTTTGTTTTATTAAAAGATAAAGTTTATCATTGGATGCGTTCTGAATTTAACTTCATCCAACTAAATAGGCATGTCAAAACGAAGCATTCAGCTTCTGCGGATTATGTGAATACTACAATTTAGAAGAGACCTGTGCCCAGAATGATACGTGTATAGATAGTTTGTCAATATAGGGATCAAGTACGTAATGTCATGATCGATACATAACAATAACAAGGCGTCACGCAAAATAGGCGCTACAACATCGAGTTACGGAAGCCAGCCCGCTCTATCTCATTGTATCCTAACAAACGGTCGAATACCGGTACCGATAAGACTAAAAACATATTGCAATTTTCCCACAGGAGTACGAGCGCAGTGTAGAAACCCATCGTCGATAACGTTCGCTCGATGGTCAGGGGTGTCTCCAGAGAGGGGGGCGCCTGTTTTCGTGTACTCTGCCAGTGGTGACGAAGAATCACTGGTAGGGGCTTGCTTAGCTAGGTAATTATAGTTTTAGTAGCTAGACCGTTGTGTTATGATCTGAGGTGATCCGTGTGGAAGTCCTTGAATCGACCTCGAGAAGATGTGTAAATGGGTGTTCAGGGATGCTAGTCTAACCCAATGTGTTTGCGGTGCCCCAACACAGTCCATGTAGCATTTGCTGCTGTGCCCCTTGTGCTCTAATATCTGTACGAGGGGTTCTCTACGCGGCCACGGATGTCGCAGTCAAGGTCCAACATACTATTCAAAGTGAATATGTTTCTAAAATAAAAGAAGCATCGACACGATACGAAGAATATCAGCAGTATGTATTTATTGGTATTGTGTATAATACAAGCGTACGTTTTGGAACCATGAACCATTCATGTATAGTTGAATATTATGTGTGATAGATGTCACGAGCTAGAGGACTGTGCGGCAGTGGTGGTGGCGTATGGCAAAGGCAACTGCCACGGGGTGGCTGTCACACAGGAAGACAACCTACGACCTGACAACGACGTCGCTTACTTCAAGAAGATTTGCTTGGAACGTGTGTAGGCCTCCCTCTTTTGTTTTTTTTCCTATACGATATAAAAGAATAGTGGGTATTAAGAACGACGTACCTACATAGGTATTAGAAAGATGCAGTTGTGGATATTTTTAAACAACACAAAAGAATAACAAAACAAAGCATAATAGAAGAATAACTAAAGCAAATAGCTGGTATGGCTCTTTAACAATATTTAAATAGTTATTTTCGAAAATAACTAGTTTCCTGGTTATTTGTAAGTTACCTACCTAGCAATTTTTTTAAATTGATAAATCGAAAGATTTGCCGTCCTGGAAATTGTTTATTTGAACCAACGCATATAGGGTAAGTTGAAATAACTGCTTTAGTGTAAAAACATTTCGAATTCAAGTAGAGGGCTGTGGTGTCAGCCTAACCCGCTGGAAAAAGGGCGTGAAGTGTATGCTCATAGTGGACTTCAATTCCCAGGGCCTGCTCGATGTCGCCAGCGATGGTGGGCTGTAGAAACGACACCAGGCTACCATCTGCATTCAGACGGTCCCGATTTGAAAGTGATCATCAATGCTACCATGACCGAATGCTACGAAGCAGTACTTTCAGTAAATGGCAAGCAGAAGTATCGGTAAGTTTTGTTCAAACTGAGGCCCACAATTTTGAATTGTTAACTAAAACAACGTTTCACCTTAACTATAATATTGTGAAATACGTGTTATTAATAATATGCTTTGATGAATATTTTGTTATATAAAAAACATTTCAATCACGATTATTACAATACGACTGTGAGTGGAATGGCGTCTTATTCGTGATATTCCAATTGTCGGCTCTATTTACGTCATATACTAATCAACAGCAATTGATTGTTATAAAATATTCGCGGTGTTTACTGCGAATATACGACATTTTTGTAAGCAATTATTATAAAAACAGAATCCTAAAATTATTTAATTCGGTTACTTCACAAGACATAGAGGGATGGATGGATAAAAAAATAAAATATGCCCCGAATTAGACCACCCTAATAATGATAATAATGTCTGTATATTTTGACGTATTTTGACCACAAGGAAAATTGATTTTTCGACGTTAAAAAACGCTAGTTCAACTTTATTTTTTAATTGATAATGAATCATTTCAAATTCTCGCGCGGATACCCACCGTCAGCAAATATCATATAAGTTAAATAAATATCTAAGAGTAATTTAATTCGTGCGTTCACAGAATATTAATTTTGTTTCATGAGGCCTTTTACTTATGTTCTTAGACTGAATCGCTTTCGCTAACCCTCACTCTCATTATAGTTACCCACTGGTCACACAAAAGCAGTACACAGAAGTAAAATTCAAGTCACTAAACAAATAAAAAGTAAAATTTCTGCATAATAAAACATCCTATTCAAAATTGAATATCAAAAACACGAAACAAAACTTTTTGTGAAACAAAAACTTTATACTAAAGGTTATTTTACTTATACAGCTTCTGCGTTCTTGGATGACAAATATCTGTGGTGACCAGTTTAGCTCTTGCAGGTAGTCTCGATCTATGATGTTTCAAATAAAAAAAAAAATTGTAAATGTTATTTACAAAGAGCAACCCCTAGAGTTTCTTGCTCATTCTTCTCAGGGGAATCTGCCTTACGAATGAGCAGTAGATTTTAATCAGTATGACGATTTCAAGTGTGATTTGCTTACCCATGAAATAAAGATCATTTGACTTTGACTTTGACTTTGACTAGGTGTACGTAGCCAGCCAGGCATGGTCTGTGCAGGCAATGCTGCATAATGGGAGCTTTTGAGACAAGCACGGTACAGGGCGGGATTTTGTTAGGTTAGAAATTTTTGACAAAATCTCTTATACCAAATTCTTGTATTCTTAGTACCTATTGATGAAATGTAGTGCTGATCTTTAAACGGTGTTATTTAATATCTGCTTTTATGTAATTAAATTTATTATTATATTTGTATTGGTGTTACTTCATTATTTGTCTTGACAGTAGGTAATACTGCTAGGATGCGGATGATAGATTATTATTAATTTTATGAAATCCATAACCCTAACTGGCTATTAGCAATTCCATACGTTTCGTAAAGCAATTATTTAATAAAGCTTTGGTTGCAATTTTAACATTTCATTTCATTTGAAATTCCTTAAAATAAATTAATTTATATAAATATGATATTTATAAACATAACGTCTTTTTACATTGACGGTTTCATTAATTATGTATAAAAAATAATTTGGTTCACAGGTCAGCACAATGGGTCGGCCTTGAAGGAACATTGGACATAGAGATGATTAAGACTTCCGATTACGTGTTGGGAAACTGTGTCCTGCACTCTGAAGATAAATTTACCGAACCGGAGTCCTATCGCGTCTCCAATTACTATACGTTTTATATTGAAAACCAGTGTAGACATGACTGTAAGTTCTGGTTAAACCATAAATCTCGCTTTCAGGGTATCTTTGTTTATTTTCCTGATAATTTCAGATCCAAAGAAGATAGACCGATGTTCGTACGAGGAATATTACAATCAAACTTTGAAGCACGTAGAGTTAACTATGAAGAATTACACCAAAGATGAGGTAATTTTTAATTTGCTACTACTGTTACAATTACATATCATTTCTTATTTATATGTAGGTAGGTAGTTTGAATTTAGGACAAATTTTTTTTAGTGTAAGTGCGCATTTAGCCTCCATCTTACCTAATGAAAAGTGACGATGAGGTCGACAATGGAGCGAGAGTCAATAGGCATTATTTAGGTGTGCATACACCTAAATAATGCCTATTGACTCTCGCCTTGAAAAGGCCCAGGTTATAACGTTTATATTCAGGGAATTCCACTCCCTAGCCGTTCGCCATATAAATGTGGAAGCGTAACGCTTCGTGCGAATCTTTGGAATATCCCCAACATAGAGATGGAACCCAAGCCTACGTCTAGTCCTCCGTGATTCGGTGATGAAATTAGGTTCGTCATACATAACGTGTTCGAAGAGTTGGAAATTTGTAAGGGAACAAAAAACATTTATACATATATAATGTTTTTCCTCAGAATACCATTTTTACCGTAAAAAAAATAATATTAATTTATTTTCAGTTAGAAGTTCAACTTAATAACTATTTATTTATTTATTTATTTAAACACTTTATTGTACCACAAAGTAACTTACAAATTTTCAGAAACAATTTAAATATTTGTGTACAAAGGCGAGCTTATCCCATAAAGAGATTTCTTCCAACTAACCTTTGAAAATCTATGTTAATAGTTACTATGTTAATAACCGCTCTAAAAAATAAATACTATGGCCGCTCTATCCTACAATAATTTTTGTGACAAGTAGTTCGATATATCGGTTGGGAATAACTGAGGCGAATCGGTCGGCTATCATTTTCAGGATGTCGTTTTTGCTCCCCCGTATACGATGCGATTTTTTTTCCTAAAAAGATCTTAACTTTCGCGTCTGCGAATATGCCTGTAGCATTACAATGTCGCAGGAGTCCCAACAGAGCCCTGAAAACGTTATTTTATTAATCTGGCATTAGCCAACATATGCCAATACCGTATGTTTAAAAAAGTATAAGTATGTTAGTCATAATATGGTCCATTAAAATGGAATTTTATAGTTATGTTTTTGTTATCTCTACGTATGTAACTATAGCACGTAATGACTGAGAATTAGCCTATGGACTTGAGGAAAATTATTTCATGTTGGAAAAAATCTTCGTTATGATCGAGGACAAGGCTTTTAAGACAGAAGATGAAAATATAAGGGGTTTAGTTGTTTATGAATATAGACGTACTTGATCAAAGTAGACAAGGAATACACTCGTGAACATATGTAGCAGAACGCTATATAATGGTGTTTTTTTAAATAATAGTAAGTGACGGGACGAATAAGTCGTGCATCTGGTCGTAAGCGACGCGCCTGTCCATAGTAACTGCAGTGCCACTCAGAGACACTGCCACTGCGCCCGTCGTACTGAGACATAAGTTGACAAGTCCCATGTGCCTGTAATTGCACCTTTATCCCTCAAAACTGGAACACAGTAAAGCTACTTCTTGGCGGCAAAAGTAAGTAAGGTGGCAGTACTTCCCTGAACGAACTCTTAGCAGTAGAACTACTTGTAAAAGGGTTTGTCTAGGGAAGTACTGCCATCATGCCTGTTTCTGCGGCCAAGCAGAAATGTGAGCATTACTGCGGTTTAAAAGGGTAAAGGTGTTGGTGAAATTACAGGCACATGGGACTTGTCAACTTATGTCTCAGGCTGACGGGCGCAGTAGCAGTGCCTCTCAGATCTTTTGGATTTAAAGCTCTGCGTAGCACTGCAACTGTTATGGACAGGCGTGTCGCTTACCGTCAGGCATGTTCGTCCAGTCACTTAGTATCATAAAAAAATATAAAGCAGATGTATCCATTTTCTGTTCCCTTTTCTTTTCGAATTATCCCATTCTTGCATGAAGGATTACGATATTGTTCAACCTATGTAGATAATATATCCAGTTAATTAATGGAGGTGAATTGCCTATTTTGCAATAGATACTTTTCCGTTGATTGTCTTGATCAAATTTCATATGTGCCACTGGACACCTATACCAGAACGTTTCATTTGAAAAAGAATAACTTCGATCGTCTTTCGATTTCATTGACTTTATGTTCGATTTCGATTAAACATACGACCATTTTTATCATAGTTCATCCTTTTTTAGCTCTGACAATGCTGCGTCCGCTAACTAAAAAGCGGCTAAGTGACAAAATAATTTCTGAGATATCATAAAAAACCATAACCCATTTTTAGAATATTGAAATTGTTTGACGATATATTTCAGCTATGCATCTTTAGGGTAAGTTTCGATAAGTCCAAATTGTTAACTAATTTTAACTGTTTTTAAAAGCGAATTTTGTGCTTTATTTTATACTATTTAAAACGAATATTTGACCATTTATCACTTAGCCCCGTTTTGTTAGTGGACGACAGATTGTTCTTAAGTGTGGATAAACTAACAGTAGAATAAATTAATAGTGATTTTTACGTTTCAACATTTCTTAACTTTTAAATAGAATGCAAAGATGCGAGGTAAACGTACGGCAAAGAACCACTAACTTAATTACCGTACTTAAAGTTATGTTGTAGATAATCGTAAGTTCTTTAGAAATTCTTCAAATGCGAATTATGAGCAGCCATTGCCATTTCACGTTGATTTATGATCAAGTTATGTTTTGGTTACAATATACTTACGTCTCGAGTTCTTAGGTATTCGCGATTGTTATGATAGGAAATGAAAATATTTTACGAATCTAAAACATGAGACCAGAAAAGGCTTGGTTGGTTTGAAAAAACAAATAACTATACGCGATTTAAAGCCGAAAAATAGTTTCATTCTTAATTTTATACGTCATTTTTTCCTTCATTAGCATTCAGTTATACTCAAAACTGTATATACCATACATACGTTTCGCTGATGAGCACTACAGAATAAGTTAAATGAAAATTTGTTATACTAAATTTGACATTTACGATTCATTTAAAACTATAGTGAAACAATATTATTAAACCTCGTTTTATTCATACAGCTCTTGCGTACTTGGATGATAAAAATCCACGGTAGTGACCCGTTTACTTGTGGCAGGTTCCTTGATTTATTATATTTGAAAAAAAAAAATACTAGAAGCAGAGCTCCTTGCGAAGCAATAGTGTAAGCTTTGTGCGTTCCGGTTTTAAAGGGCAAGGGTGCTGATGAAATTATAGGCACAGGGACTTATAAACTTATGTCTCAGGGTGACGGGCGCAGTGGCAGTGCCCCTCATAACTTTGCGTTTTAAAGCTCTGTGTACCATTAGTGTGCTATGGGCAAGTGTGTTGCTTACCATCAGGCGCACGTCTTGTTCGACCCGTAACTTGGTATTGTAGGAAAAAAAGTATTGTTATTGATAAATGTATACAAATGTTTATTTTCTAGGAGTAACCCGTAGGATTTCTTACTCATTCTTCTCAGGGGAATCTGCCTTACGAATGAGTAATAGAGTTTAATTAATATGAATTTTTAAAATGAAATTTGCTTACCTATGAAATAAAGATTTCATTTAAGTTTGAGTTGCAAATACTCGAATTTTCGGTGGTCCAAAGGTAAAAGCAGTAGCTTTCGTTCTATAAAGTTGAACTACTCGTAATTAACGTTTCACTTCTTATAACATCAGAAATGTGACCTGGCCGGTCAGGTATTTATTTAATTATCGGGACAACCACAGAATACAAATAATACTGATTAATTATATGTACTAAATGCATGGCAAATAGAAAATAAATCTGCAATCCTTTAATGACACTAAGTTACAGGAGGTAATTAAGGCTCACCTTTATTTAAAATAAAATATTTTGACACACAACGAGGAAGTCGAGAAAAACTCGTTGAATATAAAAGCCTCTTTTAAAGTGTCTTTACAAATACGTATTATACAGCACAACAGGAAAAAAAAATTAAACGAAAACAATAAAAAATGCATGAAATGAAAGTTAAATTACTTGGTGATACAAACAACCAAATTACGAAAGTAGCAATCTAAAAAATTCCTACTGTTTACGTTATTTCAGTATTGCAACTTTTAAAAACGCGGGATTATTTGAAAATATATGATTTAACTCCTATCCTTGTTCATTTCATTGTAGAGTTGACACATATAAGAAATAAGATCGTTGTATGTAACGTTATTAGTACAACATGGAACATGATACAGTCTTTTTGTGCGTTTACTTCCAACCCTCAAAGAGAAGTGGCTTATCAATTCTCATATGTCCTATTTTGCTTTAACGATTTTATACATGGCGACAATACCATTAAGGACACTTATGACTATAACGTACAGAGACTGATTTGCTCCAAACCATAAAATTCTGTCACCTTTCAATAGAGATATTTGATTCTCAAAGAATAATTGATTTATTATAAATGAGCACTTTTTTAAACAAACGATATTCTTTTTATATTTGAATACACATTAATTGTTCCGTCTATATTACTTGATCTATGGCTAAATTATAAATGAACTGCATTCAAAGTAACACTATCATTATGTTTAAGCATACTAAATTAATATTTGGTATTCAAAAATAACATTTGGTATTTTGGTCTTTTCGTTTAACGATTGATGACATTTACAACCAGTATATCTTTTGATATTGATCTTGTAATAAATCTTGGTTGTTTGGTTGCGCCCTCCATTAAGTAGGTTAGGTTAGTACATGAAAAAGCAGAAGCAAATTTACTTGCGTTTCCGAACATGTTTCGGACCGAATGCGTTTCAGGTCTAATTATATTGTAATTAGTACCTATACAAATATAATCAACATTTACTTAGTTTTAAAAATAAGTATCTAAATTTTATTTTTAAGCTCATTTGTTTTAATTTTGATGCCAAACATAAAACGATCAAAGTTAATTTAAACAAATCAAACAATTTTTGCGTAGCTCAGAACAGATTAAAGTATCCATTGATTTTGTTTATTTTATATCTCAGAGAAAGAATCTTTAAAAAAGATGATCGCTTAGTTTTTTTGCCCGCTACTTTTGCAAATTTAAAATGATCATTTAAATACATACCTTTTCAATACTATACATCAAAACCTTGTATATAATAGAGTTTAAAATATCAACGCGGACGGCAGAAGCAAATCGTTCATTACCATCATCATTATGTTTTCTCGTTGCATTTCTCAGTGTAAAACGATATGTGAATTAGAAGATCGATTCGTCTGCCGAGGCTTCACGTGGACCTCGCTGAAGCAGACGGGACGAGGACTTTGTGACCTACACAGCGAGGATCTTCTTACAACGGGCTCTTGGTTGCTGCGTAGGACATCTGGCGCTACTTATTATCGCAGGGTTATTTGTCTTAATAGTAAGTAATTATTTTATCACGTATATAATCACCTAATAATCTACATATATGCTAGCCAAAGACCTTTTTTTATAATATCAAGTGAAGTAAATAGATAAGTTTTTGTAATCCTAAGCTTTATATTTACAAGCGGGTTATATTTAATCTATTAATTAGGAAGTTATTATTGTTATTTTATGTCCGTGTAATAAGGACGAACCTACCTTACAAAATCGCCATAAGAAATCTGACAGTTTTTCTCTACAAAATACTTAACAATATGGTTGATTCACCAACTCTGTTGTCACAGGTTAATTTTATAAGTATAGCTCGTTTACCAGCACGCCCTCAACGTAAAATAAAAATGTTCGCACCACCACGACTCCGTAAGAATTATACGAGAAACAGTTATTTTCATCGTTCGTTATCTTTATACAATAATACATTTTATTACACGGATATCTTTGGTATCTCATTGAACAGATTTAAGATCAGCATCCATAACAAATTGTTTAGTAGTAATGATACAGCTTAGCGGCTTAGTGAGGACAGTCTTCTTACGAAGTCTGTAGTCGCAGGTTCACATCCCGGTTAATTAGTGTTGTTTTGATTTTCTTTATTTCTAAGTAGTAATTTGTTTAAGCACTGATATGGTTAACCATTCGCTTTTGCTTCAAAAATGCGTTTATTTTGTATTCCACTTATATATTTAAGCCCTTTTAGCCTATGTTATTAATATTTAAGTTTAATATTCGCTACTCGTTGTCTGGAGCATAGTTCAAATTTTTTTTCTGTATTAACTCATATAGTAACGACTTTTTGTACTAAAATAAACTAAAAAAAAAAGAAAAAGACATTGTGTGTTTCGCGTCGGCGATCTGAGCGGAAGCTCAACGCCCAACGTAAGGACGTTAAAAGACGAAAAAGTAGTTCTTATTGCTTATATTATAAGTGTGGTGAATACTTTTATTCACTTTATCCCTTTGATTCTAGAAGGGTGTGGCTAGATTTTATTAAGTCAGGAGCTAATCAGCTTAATCTAATTTATGTACTGTGCTGTTACTGTAAGGTACTATTTACGGCACCTAATTTAAAACATTACAAGAATGTATTTCAAGTTTTATTTTTATTTGGTTTGTAAATAGCTGTTACATTGAGACTTATTCACTAAGTGCATTGATTTGTGGTTTCAAATTTAATACACTGCTAATTACAGGTAACTTCATGCAAAAAATTTCAAAAGAAGTAATTTTAACCAGATTATATGTTATTAAAAACCAAATAACTACCACCGCGTACACAACAAAATATTATTAGGTTTTAATATGTTTCAAAAATAAAGTGAAACAATCTCCGATTATTTCGAGATATTTAATTTGAAGGGAGTTAAAGGTATCCTACCGTTTGGAATATACAGGGTTATTTATAAAGTACTAACAACCTCCCAAGAGTATATTACTAACATTATAAAAAACAACTTTTGTTTTATGACTTTGAATAATTCATCAGTTTTATTTTCGTGCAAAAATAAAAATATTTAAATAGAACACTCTAAACGGTGATTACATCACATGAACGTACTGGACTCACAACTATGAACACACTGAAGAGCGAACATTATAAATTACCTAACCTTACTCTTAAATAATCTAGTAGATATTGTTTATTATTCCATTAGCTGACTAAAAAGAGAGTGTTATTTGTCTGACCTGACAATCCTGCGAACACTGAACCCACCTTCTGCATTTACATAACAATTCCATTGTCCAAGGATGCGTGGTCATGCCTTCCCTTCATTATATGATTTCAGTAAGCGTCGAGTGTGAAGGAAACAACCTCGTTGTAAAGTATCGACCTCGTGGTTTGTTTAGAGGCAGAGTTTATGTACCGGGGCGCGGCGAGCAATGTAGCGCGCAAGCGATCAATGGTGTTGTGAATTTATCATTACCTCTTTATGGAGATTGTGATGTCAATTTTGCTTATGCAATTTCAAATGGGCCCACTGGGCTTGTCAACAGGTAAAAAGCATTTTGGTATCATTGATTTACAATTGTATGGACGTCGGGTCCGCGCTAAAAAGTGTCCGAACTTATACTTAACTTATTAGACAGTACTGCGATGACATTACAATTTAAATTCAACGTTTTAGCTTGTTCATATTCCTTTACATGTCACTACGTTTAAATAGGTTGACTTGGGACATTTTTTCGTAGTTTTTGTATTAGACCCGTCGTCCATTTATTTGTAAGTCAATGTTTGGTATTGATTTTTATGCACCGCTTATACAAAGGAAACAAATTTTTTTGAGAAATTTGCATTCATGAATCACCGTTATCATCATCATCACATGAAATAATGCTGAAAAAAAATACGAATGGATTGTATTGCGAATAATATGATTATTTGTATTTACATATTTGTCATGTTAT